TCTCTGTGCCCCCTCTCCCTCTCTGTCTTTCTTCTCTCTCTATCTCTCCCCTCTCTTAAAAAACCTTTCTCTCGTCCTATTCTCCCTCTTTCCATTTAACTCTCCCTCCCCACCCTGTAACTCTCTCACTCCTGCCCCTTCCCCCTTCTCTTTAACCCTATCCGTAAGCCATGGGGTCATTTTGTACCCCCGGGGTTATATTCTTGACATATTAGAATACTACTAGTACGAAATCCTCTTTGAAACTTTCAGCATTTCTCAAAAAACCATTTTGAAAGACAGCTATGCAAAGCGTACGGATCGGATTAACGAGTAATTTCCTTGACCATCAATGATTTATTTATAGCGGCACCAGCCATCCATGTTCAGGTGCTGTTTTAGCCCGAGTAATTTCCTCTTTGGAAAGTGGTGGCACAGAGTTCCCCACGTCGTATGGATAAGATAGTAAAACACGACGTACAGATAGGGTTAAACGCCACCCCCAGTAAGGACAATCCAGTATACAAAGGCAATACACACAAGTATCCACGCGGAACTAATCTCAGGATGTCACAATATTTCCCGCTTGTAAACACGCCTGCCCCACCCTCGCCACCACGCGCCGTTTCGCCAGCACAAAACTGCAAATGAAACAAATATCGATCACGAGAAATCAAAATCAAATGGATATTAAGATGACTTGAAAAGGGTGAACGAACTCAAGGAAAGCAGAACACACACGTACACAAAAAAAAAAAAAACAGACCGGAAAAAAAAAACCTCAAAGAAAAAAACAACTTTAGAAACTAATAACAGCCCCATGTCCCGTGTCCATTTTCTGTGACATTCGAATACAAACAAAGAAATAAAAAATATTAATAAGGGAATTCTTTTTAAAAAAAAAGGAAAACGTGTAATCAAAAAAGAAAGAAAAAAAAGGAGGGAAAATATATCACAACCACAACAGTAAAAGGAGCAACATCACGAAAACAACATGGGTATGACGACGACGACGACGACAAAGAAGAAGAAGAAGAAGAAGAAGAAGAAGAAGAAGAAGAAGAAGAAGAAGAA